ACCACAATTTCAGGACCTTTTCATCACATGAAAGAAAAAAATAATAAAACATAACAAAACCCAGGTCAGGCCAGGCACGGTGGCACACATCTGTAACCCTAGTCCTCCGGAGGCTGACAGACAAGAGGGGTGCAGGTCTGAGGGCAGCCTGGGGTCACAGAGAGTTCAAGGCAAGCCTGGACTACATAATGAGACGGCCTCAAAAAAAGTAAAATTAAATTAAAAAAATAAACTCATGCGTTTTAACTGTCCCTCCCCTGCCCAGCTTACTCCTTAGTCCAGTGAATCCCCGATCTGATTTCTGCCCTTGCAGACTTGCCTATTTGGGACATTTAATATGCAAAGTCCTGTGATCTGTGGCCCTTTGTGTCTGCTTCTTTCATTTAGATAATGCTCTTAAGGTAATCCATGCTTCAGCACAGATCAAAACTTCATTCATTTTTATGACCAAATAGCCTCCCACTGACTGGCCAGTCCACATTTATCTGCTCATCAGCTGATGGACATTTGGTTTGATTCCATTTTTTGTCTACAGGAGTAAAGCTTTTGTGCAAATTTTTGTACAAATTAATTTTTTCATTTCTCTTAGGTTTGTAACCAGGAGTGGAAATTGCTGGGCATGTTTAATCATTTAAGGAAATGCCACAGTATGTTCCATGGTGTCTGTGCCATTTTATGTTTCCACAACAACACTTTTTATTACCTATATTTTTATAGTCACTCCTAGTGGGTATAAAAATGGCACCTCATTGAGAAGTTGATTTTCATATTGCTATTGAGCTTCTTTGTGTGTACTGATCAGCCATGAAAAGATTAGGATCAAAAAGAATCCAAGAAACCCAGGAAGGGTGGTGCACACCTGTAATCCCAGCACTTGGGAGGCTGAGGCAGGAAGATCACTGTGAGTTACGGGCCAGCCTGTGCTACAGGAGAGGAGACTGTGTATCAAAGACAACAAAACTAAACTAAACTAAAAGAAACAAAGAAAAGAAAGAAAGAAACCAAGCACTTTGGAACTGGACAATAGGAAAAATAGCTTTAGGGCATGTGAGGAATCAGCGAGGCTCCACCCTTCACTGCTGAGCACAGTGAGACTCAGGTCCGAGGAGAATGTCCCAGCGCACTGTGCTGAGGACTGCAGCCCAGGGATTCAGTTCACAGAGCTCACTCGGTCAGTGGCAAAGTTCACTCAAGACACCTAAAGTGAAGAGCAGGATAGAACCTAGCTCTGCTGAGTGAGCTTGGGCCAGGAGAACAAGAAGGTAAGAGCAAAGATGAACAGACACCTTGTGTCTGGGAAACACAGCCAGGGCGATTAGAGAAAGTTAGGACAGCAAACCCTTCATGGCTTCAAGGTGGCCTTTCATGGTATCTAAATCTCAAGGAAACAAACCCGAGGGTCTGAGAAGTGGTGTTATGAATAAAAAACTGATGGTCAATTTAACACCAGCTGGATTAAATCAGCATGGTGCTGAGCATAGATGGTCCATCTGAGGAAAGTTGCCAGCATAAATAGAGATGTGGAGAAGATGAGTGAGGCCTTGTGGGTTTCTCTAAGTGTTGCTGTTTGAGCCGCTGGTTCTCCTGGAAGTTTCCCCAGTGTGAGTTCGGCCGTTGTCATCAGAGGAGCTCGGGACCTTGTTAGTGAGAGTGGCTATGGTTCACCTTCGGGAGCTCTGGTCCTTACATGCAGCATCTCTTCCTGATTTTGGAGGGGAAGATGTGTGCTGTTTAATCTCCAGGACAAACTCCTCATGCTGGCTTTCTGGCATGTGTTCAACTGTTATCATCGGAGGAGCTCAGGACCTGTCACTGAGGGTGGCTGTCGTGTTTTTCAGGACAGCCCTGGTCTTTGTTGTGAGTGTCACTTCTCAGCTCCAGTGTAGAACCCTCATCCCACCAGCATAGCTTCTTCACCCACTGGCATAGACTTTCTGGCTTCCCCCTCTGACCTTTGGGCCTTCCCAGCACAGATCCGTAAAAGAGACTGGCCTGAGTTCTTTTCAAGGACTCTAGACCTCCAGGTGGACTTGTGGGAGGTGTTATCATGGGCTCTAGTCTTCATCTGGACTCATGAAAGACACTGCTGTGGGATCTAGGCCCTTGGCTGAATATTCTATGTCTTTAGTGTTGTGGACAGATTTCCTGCACTTTCTCGTGGTTAACTCTGGGTGACCATCATAAATAATATTATAAATTCCATGTCCTGATTCTAATTGTTCTCTGCACAACCCCAGACTGAAAGAATTTTGGCCCAGGCTGGACACTGTAGGTGGAAAAGCCTCAGGTGGAACCAAGGAGCTCCATCTCCCCCACTCCTGGGAATTTACCTCCCGTGCCAAAAGAATACCAATGGGCTACCTGTGCATCCCTAGTGCCCCCTCAGACTCCACCCCAATCCTAGGCTACTTATATGCCTCCTCTCCACGTGTTCCACAGAGAGATCGCCGACCCTGGGGGGAGATGCTGCGCCCCAGGGGATCGGGGGTGTGTCTGCCTGAATTCTCAAAATAAAGGTCATTTATATCTCATACTTCTTATCTTTTCAGCCGCCGCTGGTCCCCCACAGTTCTATCACGGACCACAACAGGTGGTGTCAGGACCCCACACCTCAGCCCTAGAGTCAGGTCTAGGCACCCTCCTGAAAGCCCGCAGGATACAGGGCCCCTGAAGGGTTCTGCCCCTGTGTCTGGGATCTGGTGGTCAGCAGGCCACACACACCCCTCCAGCCAGCTTTGCCAGGCCCTCCTCTCCTGCTCTCCCCTGAGGAGGGCACAGGGTACTACTGGCAGTAGAATGTGGGTAATGAGAATCGTCCCAGTCTGTATTTAGAGACAACAAAACGAGGAACATCCAACTAAGCAAACAGTTTCACCTCCAGGCAGAAAGAGCTGGATGACATGAAGTCAACTCTCAGGGACACTGTAGGAGTCAGGTAGTCTCAGCACTCGGGAGGCTGAGGCAGGATTCACACGAGTTCAGGGGCAGCTTGGGCTACACAGTGAGTTCAAGGCCAGACCGAATTATAGCAAGACCCTGTCTCAAAAAGACAAAAAAAAGTCAGCTCCTCTTTGAAGAGCCAGACCTGAAACACGGAAACGTGCCACGTGGGATTTTAAGGGGAGGGCCTGCTGTGCACACCCCTGTGTGAGTGTGCATGTCCCTGTGCCCAGCGCAGATGGTCTGGATGGTGGCAGGTGGGACATAGACAGGAGGCAGGTGGGGGGAGTGGAAGCCAGCGCCTTCCAGACCTGGTGTTAGAAAAGATGGAGAACAAGGGGCCAGGAGGATGGAAGTGAAGGCAGGTAACAGCACGGTCTCCGTGCTAATTCCGAGGCCTCGCTAAGGTAAGAAAGGCAAATCCAGTGGTGCCATCACCGTGCCAGGGATTCAGTTTCGTCTGTCATATGATGACTCCCACATACACGGTGACTCCAGTGAAGGGTGGCTGCAGGGCAGCTCGGGAGAATGAAGAGGATCACTTGTCCTCCGGCACCACGTGCAACTGCTGGACCAGCCTGACCGTCTTCCCCAGGGTTAGACTGTGATCCTGGCCTATCTTCCACCACGTGATCATGAATCGGTTTAGATTCAAGAGGGGAGTAAAGGCCAGGTTCCCGTAGGTAGCGCCACCAGGATTCACCTTTCGGGAGAGTGCGGGGACTCCACCTCCTTTGAGTGTTAGCCCCTGAAGTCAGGAGAGGGCTTTATTCACTTCGGAAGCCCATGGCCCTGGGTACAGTGCTGTCTGGTAGCTGGCTGGCCTTCTTGGAAATTCTGAATTAAGTGTGTAGACGGCTCGTGGCGCTGGGATGCCATGAACTCAAGAGGAAGCAGTCGCGGCTGCCTCTCTGGGGTCATGATTCAGAGCGTGGATTAGGCCTACGTCTCCCCACTAACTACATCCGTTTTTACCCTTCCTGCTTTTGGGCACTTTACTACCGAGTTCACTTTGTAAAGCACAGAGAAAGGCAGGAGTTAAATTAGGCCCAACTTCCTCCGAGCTCCACCTGTGTACCAACGCTCCGTGGACACTGGAATTCTGTCATTGCAGGCTCTGAGCATGGTGGTACACGTCTATTGCCTCAGATCCCAGGGAGGCTAAGGCAGGAGGACTGTTTGAGTTCAGAGCCAACCATAGGCAATAAAGTGAAACCTGTCTCCTTAAAAACACAAACCAACCCTAGAATAAATCAGATGTTCTTCTTAGTCTATGTTAAATCAGCCAACAGTAGCTAGTATTATCTCTGTTATAAATGGACAAAACCAGAAGTAAAGAAATCTGGTTAAGGTCACAGGCAGTAAGACAGGGCGCTGGAATTCACATGAGGTTAATATTGATTCCACAGGGACACTGGCACTCCTCTCTAGAAAAAGTCAGGGTGGCAGGAGTGGAGGGCTCTCACTTGTTCTTGCCTCCTCCTTTGCCTCGGAAATGGTTAAATATGTTGAGGCACAGTGTAAAACGTTCACGTCTGTACATGTATGTGTGACATAGACAAATACAGGTCACATACAGAGACAGCCGAAAAGCTCAATACGGCACCAGGCCGCGCACGGCCAGCTTCCGGAGGGTCACAGGCCAGGAATCCTGTCGCGGCCGGGCTGCACCCGGCTGCAGAGGAGCTCGCGGGTGGAGGCCAGCGCCCTCCCCGGGTACCCAGGCCGAGCAGCCACGTGTGGGCCGCCGCTCCTCCCGCGCGGGCGGAAGCCGAACTGCCCGTAGAGGACGCCGGAAAAGCCCAGAGCCGAGCTCCAGGCGCAGGTGTCGCAATCGTCCCCGCGGCGCCCTCCTGGAGGTGCAGGCGCAGGTCGGACGCGGCCGGGGGCAGCCCAGGGCGGACGGCGAAGCCCGCGCCCGAGAAGGAACAAACCGCGCGCCAGCTCCGTGCAGCCGCCGCCGAGGCCTGCGTGGGGGCTGGGCTGGCGTACGTGAGGCGGGGCCGTCTCGTGGTGGGCGGGGCCGAGCGTGCGCGCGGGCGGCCGGGCGTCGCGGAGGGAGGGTGTCGCGCCGAGGGGAGCGGCCCGCGGCGGAGGGAGGGGAGGCCGCGAGCTGGAAGCGGGGCTCCGCGCTGGGACTGGTTCCTTCGCAGCCATTTTCTGTCCAACCAAACAGCCGATTGGAGACGGGAGCCAACCAGGGCTGCATTGGAGGTTTGTGTCTCGCTTCGGCCAATGATCGCTCCTAAAGCGACTCCACTTTAGCTCGAATGAAATGTCCGTCTCCTCCGGCGCCGGCCCCGGCCCCGCCGCCGCCGCGGCCGTGTCCCGGCCGCTCGCCCCGCTCGCCCGCCCGCTCCCGCCGCCTGTGCCCGCGGGCCGCGCCGTGCCGGGGCCGCTGCCGTGCGGGACGAGAGGAGCGGGCGGGCGGGCGGGCGGACGCCGCGCGGGGCCGGGGAGCTTTGTCTCCGGGCGGCGGCGGGATGCGCCGGCCGGGCGCGGGTCGGGCCGAGGCCGCGGGGTCCTCGGGGTCCCCGGCCCGCGGCTCGCGGAGGACGCACGTCGGCGGCCTGGGCCCCGCGCCGCCGCAGGTGGGAACCAGGCCTCCGGGTCGGGCCGCGGCTTCGCTCCGGGTGGGAGGTGGGGGACGCGCGGGGCCCCGGGGGGACAGCGACTCGGAGAACAAAGAATTGGGGAGCACCCATCAGCCGTCCCGGCGCCCAGGTGCCCCCTCAGGTCCGCAGGAGCAGGCGGGGGCGGCGACCCTCGAGCAGATGGCGCCCCGCGCCCCACTAATTCGCGTGGGCTCCCCGGTTGCCCCAGGTCCCCAGGATTGCCTCGCCTGCCGTAGCATGGGGACTGAGCGGCAGCGCGAAGTGACGGGGCGCACAGATCAGTAGAGGTGGCAATCATAAATGGGGGTCTTATTGGAAAAGTATTGAAAGTTTATCCAGAATCGTTGAAAGGCGACTCTTCTCTGCACGGCTCTTGGAGCTAAGGTGAGGGTTACACCGATGCACAACTCTCTGGTCGCTGATGCCAAAGAATGGAGGTTGGGGGAAGCGAGTCTGCTGCTTTTCTTGGATACAGATTTGCATTTCTTCTAACATTAAACAGATGTATGCATTCCCTAGAGCTTCTGCATGTATCATGACCTGCCCTTAAGAAAATAAATACCAGATGAAGTGGTGCTGTTTTTCTCAGTTATACATACTCAACTGTTGGGGTGACTGGTGTGTGCCTACTCAGTATAAGGAAAATACTGTGGGTGTGCGGCCCCCTCATATTTTACGTTTTCCAAGGGTATTTTTTTATGCATCAAAGTCACCAGAAATTATTGCTATTTTTTGTAGCTTGAAGGATTGTTCTGGGCAGTTTTGGATCCAGAAAAGGACCTATGTAAAAAGACATTAGGAATTACTTTTAGGATTATACCAGATAATCTTTGGACAGTCTTCTTTGTTGTCTGGACTCTTTAATAGTGTTTTAAAAATTCAATTCAGTGGCCAGAATTTCTTCTGCTATTTACTGGATTTCTTTTTTTTGTTTTAAAATTTATTTATTTACTTTTAAAGACAAAGTCTCACTATGCAGTTCAGCCTGGCTTTGAATTCACTCTGTAGCCTAAGCTGGCCTCAAACTCAAAGTGATCTTCCTGCCTCAGCCTCCTGAGTGCTGGGATGACAGAAGTACTGGGATTACAGGGTTACCTGTGTCACCACTTCTGGATGTTTACTGGGTATCATGCTCCAACGCAAATCAGAATTTCCTCTCCCTAAAGAGAGAAGAAATGTGTTTGTTTTTTGGCAGAACCACCCCGCCCCCCATTCAGTTGTTTCAGGTTCAAGAAAAGGAAAGATCCTGTGAGCAAAAGTCTTTGACACTGTAATTGATCTAATTTATTCAGCTGTGTGCGCCCCACAGGGAGGCAGAAGTGCCATTAAGATGTATTTTAGTCCAAAATATTGCTGCTTCAAAATTACAGATAAAACTCTTGATCCTGGGTTTTTGGTATGGTCTCTAAAGAACGTGTCTCTTTCCAATATAATTGAGAACATGTACTTAATAGCATTATAGGGGCTGGGGATTTAGCTCAGCGCCATAAGCTCCTGCCTTGCAAGCAGGCGGTGGTGACTTCCATCTCTGGTACTGATAAAAAAAAAAAAAAAAAGTCTCTTAAAAGCATTATAGTCTGAGATAAAAAAACCAAAAACTCCCCCTTTGTGTTTTCAGATGCCTAAGCCTAACTGAAACATTGACAAACCCATCACCAAAGAAATGAAGTGGTGTGTTTGTATCGTGATTGTTTTTCCTAAGTTCTCCAGAATACTTTGAATTCAGCAAACATTTATGGTGCACCAGTTTTTTACACTCTGTTCACTGAGACTTGCAGAGAAAATTGCATGTGCCCTCTTTAATTTCACTAGAAAGCAAGCCCACAGCTTGTGCGTCCTTACCACTAACAGATGTTTGTGTTCTAGGCTGAGGCTGGGCCAGGCCTGGACCGCGCGTGGGACAGCTGCTCCCCAGCACCGCCGACAGCACGGTTCTCCAGCATTTCAGCACCGTGAGTAGACTCTCCCGTTCCGGCCATGACACGACCTGCGCAGCCTTGGCTGGGAGCGGCCATCAGTGACTGTGAGGGCCTTCTGGGTCCAGAAGCTGGAGCCTCTGCTGGCCTGGTTTCCATGCTTTGCATATGGTCCAGCGTCCCGTGTGGGAGCTGGGAGGGCGACAGCCTGGTGCATCCTCAGGCTGGCTGTGCCACAGGCTGGGTGGGGTGCGGATCGCAAGTGAGGGCAGCACGGGAGGCAGAAGCCCAAGGCCAGCGTCAGGATGGGGACCGGCAGGCGGCACAGTGACTTCTCAGAATATCCGGGCCATACAGGCCCTGCTGCTGGATTTGTGACCTCAGGCGTGTCACAATTTCTTTGAGTCATAGTTGCTTCACTGCTGAAGTGAAGGAATTCCATTTGTCAGACCTCAAGTGAAAGTGCATCCTAGTGGTAAAGTATTTATTAGCCTGAAGACAGAGTTGGAAGCAAGTTTAGTTAGGGTAAGTGGGGGACCTGCTGGGAAAAGGAGCAGCCCCACGACCCGGGGAGCCAGTCTTCTAGATCGGGCTTACCGTAAATCAGTATGCCAGAGCCAGGCGCGGTGGCGTTCCCTGAGATCGCAGCCCTCGCACTCAGGAGGCTGAGCAGGAAGATCGCACTGAGGTGCAGGCCGGCCTGGCTGCACAGAGAGACCCTGTGCCAGAACAAACCCGAACCGTGGGTTAAGGTGGGGTGTAACCCACCGGAAGGGGGGAGGAAGGGCACGTCCGGGGGCGGCCGTGAAGAGCGAGGCCGAGGTGGCCTGCAGCAGAGGGCAGGACCTGACGGACTGCTGCGGTTACCTGGAAGAGTGGAGGTTGGCACAAATGGTGGAGAAGATGTCCCTTTTCCTGCGAGGGCTGGGGAGGGAGTTTGATTCCCGCAGCTGAAGTTTGCTATGCTGGGCGGCCGCGGGTCTGGGACTCACGGCACAGAGGCGCTGTCATGTGCATTCCTGAAGAAAGCGAGGGAAGGGAGAGCGGGGACATCGTGTGACACTAGCAGGCTTCGGAGGAAAGTGTAAACCAGGCAGGGTTACTACTCGAGATGTGAGGGAGAGAATTGCGAGCCGCGGTGCGGGCGCCCTGGTCGGTGTGACAGGGCAGTCAGACGGCAGGAGGAGGCAGGACTGGTGTGGACAGCAAGCGGGAGCTGTGTTGGGCGCTGAGCTCAGAGTCAAGCGGTTCTTCAGGGCTGACCTGGTACACTGGTGTCCAGCCCTCGGGAGGCTGAGGCAGGAGTATTGGCGTGAGTTTGAGGCCAGATTTGGTACATCATGAACTCAAGGCCAGCCTGGACTACATGTTGAGAGCCTGTCTTAAAAAAAAAGAGGCACATAAGAACTCTTTTTAAAAGACAAGAATGCGAGGCGGGGAGGAGTGAGGGTTTTCCTGGTGTGCAGGGCTGTGTGTATAACGTGGGTGACTGGGTGTGTAGGGAAGGGGGAGGGGGACACTGAGAGGGGCCAGATCCCAAGAGGAGTCTGTGTTTTGTTGCTTGCGAGGAGGAGGTGGAGGACTGAGATCCACAGAGCAGGCGAAAGGGTCCGTTCCACGGGGCCAGAGTGACAGCCGTGCTGGAAGGGACCGTGATGCCCAGTGGCATCTGTTGCAGCCCTAATGTGCGCCAGCTGTCTTGCTAAGTGCTTTAGATGCAGCAGCTCCCCCAAGCCGCCCACCAGAAGAATGGGGTGTGGGAGGGTCAGAGTACCTGGGTGCGGGCCAGCCCCCAGGGGGTAGCGCTCGCCAGGGGTCTCCCGAGCGTGTCCTGGGCCGCCCTCTGTGAGTGCACAGCTGGCTTGGCGGGAAGGCGTAGACCTGGGACTGCAGGACTATGCCGCTGTCAGAGGCTCTAGACTGCAGCCCCACCCAGGGCAAGCCACCAGCCACCGTGCCTCAGTTTCTCCCCCGCTGCCCAGGAGGACAAACCTTTCCCGAGATACTCAGTGCGCTGCCAGTGTGAACACTGCTGTCTGGGGGTGAGTTCCTAGCAGAGCTGAGATGCAAGTAATGCAAGTGTGGTATCTGTTTCTGTATTTGGAGAACAGCACCAGCCGTGCACTGTAAGGAATCAGTGCAGTGTTACAGCTACTTTAACGAGCGTGCCCATGCTCTGGCCGGCCTCACACCCCACTGCGTGATCCGTCACCGTCCCCTGCTTGCTTCTGCTGGGTCCCTGGGCACCAGCTAGTGCTTGAGCTTTTCTTTTTTTATGCAGGGGCAAGTCAGGGCCGCCCAGCCGGGCTGCCAGTCACCCCGCTTTGTCAGGCACTGTCCAGCTGGCCACCAAGTCCTGCTGGTGTTGCCTGCTGTTAGGCTCGCTGGAGTCCCCTTGCTGCTGTGACCTTCAGGGCTCGGCCCGAAGGCGCCCCAGCTGGCTGCATTGTCATCCCCGCCCCTCCCCCGGCCGCACAGGTTCATGTGTTGGCGGGGATGAAGGTTTAGCCGCGTCACAGTTTACCCCGGGCACCACACAGGCATCTGTGTCCTGACCCCGCTGCCAGGTGGGCAGCCTTCCAGCCAGCGATTCCTGTTTGCTCAAGATACGCTCGCACATCTGTTTGTCACTAGTTTTGACTGCTTTTTTATTTAGAATGTTGTATGCACCTTTGAAGTTTGTTTCTACTGAAATTATTGAGATTAATAAGTTCTGGTTATTTTCTTTTACTAGTTTGTGTTTGTGAAAAATAAGCTATAATTTTGTGCTACAAGCTATAAGAATGTCTTCCCCGAGGCCCATTAGTTCACCATTAAATACTTCTGCAGAACTCAGTGATGCTCTTACCACGAGAAACAGACACACTGGGGCCTCAGAGACTGACGGGAGGGAAGAGCCAGAGGACGTGCAGAAGAAAAGGCGGAACGTCTGTGTCATGAGACGGAGACAGAGCGCACCTGCCTGCTGGCAGCTGTTGGTGCCAGGGACAGCGGTGACAGAACCTAAATGAAGGAACGAAGCTTTAACCCTTCCAGCAGTGGTCAGTGACCGTGAGGGTTCTGTGGTGATGTGGACGGAGCTGACCAGTGTCTAACAAGCCGTCCTGTAACCAGAGAGCAAGGAAAGAAATATAAAATATTTATGCACCTTCTGGACAAAACACTGTGCGATTCATTTGTTACTTTTCCAAGACAAGGGGATTCAAAAAGTCATTTATAATTTAGATTTCTGTAACAGAGCAAATACCTGAAAAATACAGGATTGCAAAACACCAAGCAGGACTGGACGGCCATCGTCACCGTCTCTACCTCTATGTCTAGGGGGCAGACACTGGTGAGAGTCCACCACCCACAGAGAACGGGAGCGGCTAGCAGGACCGTGTAAAGAGCCGTAACCCCAGCCAGCACTCAGGAGGCTGAGGCAGGAGGGCTGCCGGAGGCTGCAGTGGGCGAGGCCAGCCTGAAGTAGCCAAGACCCTGTCTTGTTAGACAGAAGAGAACAGATCTGTACTCTTCGGCCGAAAATTCCCTGTGGTGCCGCTGCTGCTGTCCACAGGTGTGGCCTGTTCTCCCGCTGAGCTGTCCAGGTCCCCAGCACAGCCTGTTTCTTCCTTCTCTGTCTGGAACATTGTTTGCCACGTTTTTGTTTTGCCTGACCGGTTTGTGTTTCTCGTGAGTCTCAGTTTCAAGGCTGTTTCCTGCCCTGGCCTTCCTTGACCCCTGGACTGGCCAGGCCCTAGAGATGAGCTCACCGGGCAGGCAGCAAAACACCTCTGCCTCGTTAGGGCTGGGCCCAGCAGGCAGCTGAGCGCCTGGGGTTACTTCATGGCTGCGGGTGGCGCTTGTTACGGGGCTGCAGGTTCAGCTCCCAGCTCACCGCGGCCCACAGACAGCTGAGACTCCAGCTGGGCCAGTGGATTCCAGAGCGCTGTCCTGGGAGTGCTGGAAACCGCGCTCCACCCCCAGCCCTGCCTGTGATGCAACCTTTATTCCCCTGCGGGCTGGGGACAGAGACCTGGTCCTCAGGGTTGACTGTCCGGGGCCGCACCCAGCAGGCCGGCAGATGCTGCCTGCCCCCCGGGGGGCCTTCCGGATGGCCTGCAGTCTGAAGGAGGTTTTAGGCAGAGGAGAAATGTAGGCAGCAAGTTCCCCCACGATGCCTCACACAGCTGCTGACCCCAGAGCTAAGGTCAGGCCAACCTGTTAAACGACTCCTTGGGGCTTCCAAAAGTGGACATTGCCCCGGCCTAGGGTTCCAGCAGGTGCGAAGGCCGGCCCGCAGACCACGCCCACCAGGTGGACTTCAGTGGGGGACAGAAAGGACAGAGCTGGGTGTGTGTGTGTGACAGGAAAGCTGAGACTTGCAGAACTGGAAACACGCAGCGCGCAGTGTGGCCTTCCCTCAGAGGTGGAGAGCCCGCGTGAAACACGCTCCCTGCCACTCGGGCAGCCGCTTGCTGTCTGTAAGGAAACGCTCTTGTTTAGAAAGCAGAAAGCGGCGTGCTGTTAATCCACATTAGGATCTTACTCCTTGACTAGGTGCAGTTCAGTTTTTTGCCTGTGGTATCTGTTGAAATTCCTCTCCCGCAGAGGAAGCGTCTTACTCACCAGGAACTTTAAGGCTGGTCACCGTGGATACTGACTTAATAGGAGTCTGCAGCAGGTCCTCACTTGCCAAGACACACATTTGTCTGGTTACTGGTTCTGAATCAACGTATCGGTCCTGTGTCCTGCACCTTATCTTCCTTGGGTCATTGTGAAGCCTGTCACCTCCCAGGCGCTGCAGCAGGCCATCCTGCCTGCTCATAAGTCCGCCGTCCCATCCCTGGAAAGCTGCTTTCCCAACGCTGCTTCATTTTGGGCTCCGAGGAGCACTTTATATTTGGGCCGTGCCTCCTAGTCACTCTGTCAGCCTCACACGGGGTGGCGGCGCTGTGTGCGTAGCTGCTAAGGGTGCTTGCTTCAGGGGGAGTGGGCGTTACTTTCTCAGTGCGGGGACAAAGCACCCGGCACCCACAAGTTACACGAGGAAAGGGTTCTTTGGGCTCATGGTTTGCAGAGGTTTTAGTCCGTGGCTGGCTGGCTCCAAGGCCGGGGGCGTCACGGAGGAGACACAGTCCGTGGCAGGGCAGGCAGACGGCGGGCGGCAGCAGCAGCCGCCTTTCCTCTCCTCTCCTGCGGATCCCACCCCGCTCCAGCCTGGTGGTTGGTGCCACCCACACCTAGGGCGAGGCTTCCCGTTACCCGCAGCCAGAGCCGCACTGGCGTGTCAGTGGGCCCCTGCAGAGTCTCACACCCTGACCTCGGGCCGCACCCCTGCACCTAGCTGGCCCGGAAGGCCCACCTGTGGGCATCCGTGGTTTCTCGGGACATCTGGACATCTGGACATCCAAGCCACAGCGGTGCGAGTGAGGAGAAGTTAGTTCACTGAGTTTGTCCCCTGCTTACGTCTTACTGGAGAGTCGGAGGGTAAACAGGCATCTGTGCTTCTGTGGGCTGTTCCAGGCCTGCGGGTTCTGTTCTGTCCCCCTCAGAGCAAGTCTAAGTTATGAAAGTAAATCTGTATCTACAAGTTAGACATCAAAGTCAGCAGGAGAAATGCTGTGTTGAAGACAGGAAAGCGGTCCCCGCGCCTCAGTGTTGGGGAGGAGCCAGCAGAAGCGGGGCGCTGAGTGAGCTGCAGGGAGGGAGGTTAGGGAGCCCCCAGCGTGGCGGTGATTCCTAGCACTGACTTGTGTTGGCTCCTGGGCCTCGGTGACGCTGAGGACCCGTTGCAGTGTCTCTGCTCTCTTTGACCCGGGCTGTGCCCTGCAGTCGGATGACGTAGTTTTGGTTTTCACCCTGCCCGTCTGGGGGTGCAGAGCACCCTCACGGTGTAGAACCCAGCCCTGGGCCTCATTTTTCCCGGATTTTCCCTCTCGCGATGGGTCTGGCTGAGTGGGCGCCCTCTCAGTGGTCACTTTAAGCCCTCCTGGTCAGTGGTTCATGCTGTGTTTTTATGTAAAATGAGCACAAATTCTCTCGGGAGAAAGAATTCCCTGTGGACTAGAGCCCCGAGACGCCGCGCCCTGCCTGGCAGCGGGTATCAGCACTGTGTCCCCAGTGTCCCTGCCGCCGATGGGGGGCTGCTGGGGCCCACGCAGGGGCTGCGCAGCTGGGGGGAGCAGTGTGTGCTGGCCGGCCGGCCGGCCAGGCTGGGGATCCCGAGCAGTGTCCAAGGGGAGCTCCGTCTTCCTTTGGCGCCCACCCAGGCCGCGCCCCGGCCGGCCAGTCGCCTTCGGCCGGGCGCTCCGGGGCCCTGAGCACTGTCTCTTCTGCAGATGGACGGCGACAGCTCCACCACAGATGCGTCCCAGCTCGGGATCTCCGCGGACTACATTGGCGGGAGCCACTATGTGATCCAGCCGCATGACGGTAAGGGCGCAGCGGGCACGGCAGCCCGGGCTGCTTTGGGAATTCACCCGCTTCCTTCGTGAGCGCAGCGTAAAGCTGAGAAATTCTCCTTCCCGGGCTCAGCCAGGATGGTAGTGCTTCGAAGGGCAGCTTAAATTGCCACCGTTTTTACTTGGGAACTTATTTTGCAGTATTGTGTTGGCCTATCAGAAAGAACTTCCGTTTGTGGCATATTGATTTGTGAAATTAAGAATTAAAATGATTTTACAAGGTGTGATGAAGGTTTAGGGTTACATCCTGAATATTTTGCTGACCTTGTTTCTCACACGTAAAAATGGAGATGGAAGGCTGGGGATTTAGCTCAGCGGCATAAGCACCTGCCTTGCAAGCAGGCGGTCGTGAGTTCGATCCCCGGTACCAATAAAAATGAAAAAGACAAAAAAAAAAAAAAAAATGTATTGAAAATGGAGATGGAGTTAGCCAGACGCTTTGCCCGGGGAGAGGAAGCTGAGGTCCTGTGTCTGACCGCGCCCAGCGGAGGGTGTGTCCCGGCTCTGTGGAGGTGCCCCTGTGTCGCATCCATAAAATTCATGTTTTGTAAGAAAAATTGGGTCACTCACTGCTGTGGGTTTGCTAAAAATACACCCCAGTAGTGCTGCGGCAGCCAGTGATGTGTCAGGGTGGGGTCTCCCAAGCAGGGCTAGACACCCAGCACAGTCCCTGGCCCCCTCTAGTCAGGGGAAGGCGGGGGGCTGCACCCCCCAGGCCCAGGAAGCAGGTGGGGGCATCTGAGCAGGGGAATGAGAAATAGAGTCACAAGGGGCATCGGAGGAAAGACAGGGCACCTGCGGGTGTCAGGGGGCGCGTGGGGAGGCCGAGCTTTTTGAAGGTCAGTTGGGCGGGTTTGCAAATAATGAATAGGGCCACTTCTGGCCCTGAGAAAACTGCAGAGAACCCCTGCCCTGCTCCCCAGACGGGAGGGCACTCGGGCTGGAGGTTGGCATGCACCGCACCTCAGGTTGGGTTTTCCCATCTCGAGGTAAAAATTACAGGAAACTAAAGCTGACATGATCCTGCTTCTTTTAGACACAGAAGACAGCATGAACGATCATGAAGACACAAATGGTTCAAAAGAAAGCTTCCGAGAGCAAGACATTTATCTTCCCATTGCGAACGTGGCCAGGATAATGAAAAACGCCATACCACAGACCGGGAAGGTGACGCCCAGCCAGCAGGGTTTGAACTCGCTGTATGGGTGGGGGATGGAAAGCGACACAAATACCCGTAGTTAAATCATTAACTCACTTTGAACCCAGTGGTTCAGCCTTTCAGTAAATCAAATATTTATTTCTGCATGCGCAGTGACCAGTGCTCACGTCCACTTCTGTGTGGCCCCCCGTGGCCCTCCCTGCGCCTCCAGAAGCCAGTGACTTGGGGCTGTGGTTGTCAGTCTGAGGTCCGCACCCATCAGGATGTAGCTTCTCTAGGGTCTCGTGAGAATTAGGTTACACCGGACTGTGACCGACAGTCATAAAGCCCAGTGTAAGGAAACAGATACTTTTTTTTGTCTTTTTCCTTTTAATCGGTACCGGGGACTGAACTCACGACTGTCTGCTTGCTGGGCAGGCGCTTATGTTGTTGAGCTAAATCCCCAGCTCCAGGAAACAGATACTTTTAAATAATTACAGATACTAACATACAGCTGGCATGATTTTTTATTTTATTTTTTAAAGAGAGAAAAACAGATAAGCAAACCAAACAATAAAAACCAGTAGTGATACAGAATTTCAAACCAAGGTGGCAGGACTTTAGTGATGGTTGTTATATTGCATGTTGTTATCTTCAAAGCCGTTGCTCAGGTTTCACATGACTTTCTAAAAGGTGGTTCTGGTCATCTTAGAGCTGCTTTTAAAAACACCATTCATCACTTGGCCTGAATTCAGGATTCACACCGTATAGTCTGTTCTCTGTTACACCGCTGTGGCTTTATCACGGTTCATGGCTTAAGAAAGTCCTTCCAAAAGTGCTAGAGCTTCCAAGGGAGGGTGCAGCTGGAACCCCACCGAGCCTGGCGGTGGGCAGTGCAGCCTGGGCAGGCCCCTTGGCCCAGGAGGAAAGGGTGTGCAGCTTAGCGGCTGGGCCGGGCCCGGCCCGGCGAGGGGCTCGGGTGCCCAGAAATCAGACTTGGGAGCTTTGTGTAGAGCTGACGCCAGGTCTACGTGGTGGTGATGGGCTCCATCTGGTTAAGTGTTAAAGTCAGTTTTACTCCCGTTTTGTTCAGCGCGGCTGCTAAGAACCCTAAAATTCTGCCCTGGGCAACACAGGACGGATGGTCCATCCGGGCTCTGCAGCCCAGTTCCCTGTGGCCCTCGCAGGGTCAGGCATGGGGTCACCTGGGTCATCCCTCTGTGGTTTCCACCTGGAGCCCTGCAGCCTCAGGAAGAGCATCTTGCTGAGGACTCGGCAGCTCGTGACGCTCAGGATCCACAGCTGTCCTGTGTCCCTGGAGTCAAAACGTCACCACGCATTACTGCCTTCCCTGACCGTGCATATGCTGGGCCTTCTGGCTTCTGTTTTTCTGTGTCTTCAGAGTGCAGATGCTGAGGCAGGGAGCCCTTCTGAGCCGGGCCGCAGTGCGCCTGGTGCAGCATGGTGGGGCTGGTTTTCATCCCGGTTCTCGGTTTTCAGCCTGTACGGGGCGGGCGGCAGAGCGTCCACCCTTTTTTTTTTTTAGATATCTACATTGTATTTGAGTTTGATGTGGTGGTACAGCCCTGTAATCCCAGCACTTGGGAGGCTGAAGCAAGAGGATTAATGCGAGACTAAGACCAGCCTGGGCTACATAGTGAGTTCAAGGCTAACTTAAACTGCGTAGTGAAACCGTCTCAAAAGACAAAAAGTTAAAACATAAAATAGTATTTGAGTTTTTGTCTGATTAAAGGTTGAAATTGTTAAATTTTGAGGTGGGCCTATGTAGTCCAGGATGGCCTTAAATTTGCTTGGCAGTTCAGGATGGTTTCAAACTTGTGATCAGGATCTTCCTGCCTCAGCCTCTGAGTGCTGGGATGACAGGCATTCCAGATGTGCACCACCACAACCAGCCAGTGTTGGAAGAAACAAACGTGTGTTTGGTTTGCAGTTCTGGGGGTCAGATGCAGGGCTCTGACTGCTCGGTGAGGTCTCTACAGCCCCGGGGGGCTGCCCTTGACAGCACAGTGGTTGTTACTTATCACGTAGCGGGAGTGAGGGTCCGCGCGCACACTGGCAGCTGGGTTCTTTTGCAAGGCCTTTGGTTTTTGCAGCGCTTCGGAGCTGATGGTTAAATTCCCTGCAGATTTACCTGTGACTTCGTCCCTTCAGATTGCAAAAGATGCCAAAGAGTGTGTGCAGGAGTGCGTGAGCGAGTTCATCAGCTTCATCACGTCGGAGGCCAGCGAGAGGTGCCACCAGGAGAAGCGGAAGACAATCAACGGGGAGGACATCCTCTTCGCCATGTCCACCCTGGGCTTCGACAGCTACGTGGAGCCCCTGAAGTTGTACCTGCAGAAGTTCCGCGAGGTGAGCACGGCCCGCAGTATCGAGGCTTCGGCTGTGACCTGTGGACATTTTAGCTGGTCGCAAGCCTCGTTAGTGTTTTCTTTATGCTAAGCTCAGTGGGGTTACACACCGCGGTCCGGGGACTTGGGGTGCAGACTGAGGCTGTGCCCCATCTCTGGTACCCGGGAATCCTGAGACCCTCAGCAGATTGATGGAACCCCTGTGGGCCTCCTTGCGAGACAGTGAGCCCTGGAGCACCTTTATTGTGGAATTAGAAGTAAACAGTGGTCAGCTCGTTGCTGTCCTTTTTTTTTTTCGTTGTGAAGTGCAGGCTAACCTTGAGCTCACTATGTAGCCCCGCCTGGTCTGTAACACAGGGCCCGTGTGGACCTCCGAGTTGCCTGGTATTGTGGTATTTGCAGACATCCCTCTGTGCCACCGGTGGCACTGTGTGACCCTTGGATGTGGCCTGCAGTGCACTTGTCCTGGGCCCCAAGTGACTCGGGCCTTCCCCGCCGGGGTGGCGCAGGCGTCTGTCCCCACGTGGGTGGAGCCAGGTCCTCAGTGCCACTGTCTGCCCTCCTTGCAGGCCATGAAAGGGGAGAAGGGCATCGGCGGCGCGGTGACGGCGGCGGACGGGCTCGGCGAGGAGCTCACAGAGGAGGCCTTCAGTAAGTGGCCGGGCTCTCACCACCACATCCCTCCTGCTTCCTCTCCGTCGGGGTGGGCTGGGGTGTGGGCCGGGTGGAGCAGGACTTGATTCTCGGCCTCCCGGGGTGGCCAGGTCTCGGGAGATGAAAGACTGAGAAGGCGGTGAAGAGGGTGAGGTCTCGAGCTCAGGGATTCAGTTTTAGCAGTCAGGAAGGAGCTGGGCACTGTGGTACCCACCTGTAACCCCAGCACTCTGGAGGCCGAGGCAGGAGGGTGGCTGTGCGTTCCAGGCCAGCCTGAACCACACAGTGAAACCCTGCCTCGTAAAAGACCTCCCCCCTGAAAAAGCACAGGACAGTGTGGCATGTTGGGGAGCTCAGCGCGTGCCTCACCAGCCGTCCCTCCACGGGGACTCACCGAACCTCAGAGCCGGGTCCACCCCAGACATGCGGGTGCCGTGCCCTCCTCGTCCTCAATGCAGAAAAATGTGCCTTTCAGGGATACTGTTTAAATGGGAAATGTGACCTCCAGGGTCTGCTGACATCTGTGACGAGTGCCGAGCTGTAAGGGGCCGGACAGGTCCAGTTTAGGTTCAGCCCAGGAAAGCAGACGCGATGATTTTCCTCCTGTAAGCTCTTCTGTTTCCTTCCAGCCAACCAGTTACCAGCTGGCCTGATCACTGCAGACGGCCAGCAGCAGAATGTCATGGTTTACACCACGTCCTACCAACAGGTACAGCCCCAGCCTGTCAGCGGCTTTAACAATGGTTTATATCCATTGGCCTTGTTGCCAGCTAACTTTAACCCCACGCACCACTGTTAGAGACCTGCGGGAAGCTCTTAAAAATTACTTTCTCCAGGTGTACGTGTGGTAATGCATAGCGTTCCCTTGATGACTAGACCAGGAGACATGCTCACACCTGCACAGATGATGTCTAGGATGAGAAGTAACAGATTAGTTAGAGCAGTTAGAGCAGCTCCGTGGGGGCGAGGAGCCGAGGGGTGGCCTGGGAGGAGGAGGGCTTCCCCTCTCCGCCGGCCTTGTGTGGATGGATATGTTACTTCTGAAGTCTGGTAGCCGGGCGAGGTGGCGCACGCCTGTCATCCCAGCGCTCGGGAGGCTGAGGCAGGAGGATCGCTGGGTGTTAGAGGCCAGCCAGGGCTACAAAGTGGGCTCAAGGCCAGCCTGAGCTGCTGCCTTGACCCTGGCTCAAAAAGACTAAATAAATCAGTGAGTGAGTGAAGTGTTGCCTAAATGCTACCCAATTCCCGTCTCTTAAATTTCTGGCGTTCAGCAGATTCAGTTCTCCTGATCCCGAGAGCGTGTCTGCAGCCCTGGACGGCGGCGGCGGCGGTGGCGGTGGCGGTGGCAGCAGCAGGGCCGGGGACGTGGGACGCGGACGGCTCTTTGTACATTGAGTAGCTGTAATGTAGCTTCCTGAGGCTTGGCTAATTGAGGTGTTAATTCTGACTTGAGAATCTTTTTCATGAATGATTTTAAAGAAAAATTTGGATTTTAAAGGTATTAAAATATTTTTGTTTTGTACGGGAGTGTTGCTCTGTATGATGCCTGTATGCAGTGTATATTGCAATTTATTACTGTCAGAGATTTGTAGACAGTTTCTTATTTTCATATTGAATCATGTTACTTTTGTAATTCAGGTAAGCAGCTGGGTTAATTCATGATGTTTACCCGTTTAATAAAAGATGAGGTAGAGTTCATTTTGAATGCAGGTTGCCTTTATTATACATTTGAGTTTGTCTTGGCTTTATGATACCTTGCATGATAACCTAGCTAGATTTTTAGCCTTTTCTGTATTTATTAAAGTTCCTTTTTTTGGTAAAACATCATAGTTTAAGCAGCACCGTTTTTTAAGAAATGTCATCAGCCGAGTGGGATGCGGGAGCAGAGGCTGCTGTCCTCCCAGCCCAGCCTGGTGCCCGCCTGGACACGTCACCGTCATCGTCGTTATCTGTCATGGTCACCGTCATCTGGGGCTTCCCGTGGTAACACTGGATCTGTTTCCTGGGACTTTGCCGCCAGTGTTGGAGTTCATTTACGTTTCCCGTGTCCTGGCGCTTGGTGTTCCTCAGCACGCACCCCAAGTGTTTCCAAGCCCCTCACCGAGGGGCACAGTCCGAGGCACCCCTCCCCTTCTCTTGGACCGGAAGCGCCACCCACCTGGCCGTGCAGACCTTGTGCCCGACGTGGGCACAGGGTTGCGGTGGCCTCTCCGGTGCTGTCCCGATCTCTGCAATAAACAGCTGGACGGTGTCGCTTCGTATCACGCAGCAGTGTGTCCTCGGGTTGCGCCTCTGTACGCGGGGATCTGTGTTTTCTCTTCTTCATGGTGACAACCTGAGGGGTTTTTAAACTTAATATGGGCAATGGCTGCTGTGTCGTTCGCCTGGAAGGAAGCTTGAGTGGCTGTCACCTGTCCCACCGCCACTCCGGACGGACGCGGTCTGAGCAGGACCCGCTGCTTCGCTGCAGGAGCCCGGAGCAGGGCTGGCCAGGGCCCTCCGGCCCGTGAGGGTGCCCGGTGCAGGGCGGGCCAGCAGGAGAAGGGCAAGGGCGGTGAGCAGAACCCACGATCACCCTACTGTGTCGGGATAACCAATGTTAATATTTTGATAAATATCATTTGTCCTTTTACTTTGCAAAATATGTATATTTTTATAAGAATGGGCTCATATCGTGCATACCGTTTTGTAACCGGCTTTTTTCACTCAACAATATATTGTGACCCTGTTTCCCGGGCCATGCTGGTCTCCTGCATCCTTTCTGTTGGCTTACTATTCTGTTGTATGACTGAATCCTAATTTATTTGTCTACTGGAGATTTTTGACTATTTATATCTTTTCACAGTTATAAACAACACTTCACTGAATCTTGTGTACATCCATGACTTTCCTTGAAATAAACTTAGAACTGCTGGGTCACCAGACAGGCAGCGCGTCAAGCCTGCTGCGGCCTGTGTGTGGGTATGTCCTGGAACAGTCCAAAATGTCTGCTGCTGGATCTGTGTGGCATGCGTGTCACCATGTCCCCGAGAGAGGTGCTGTCATGTACCAAATGTACACTGTAAAGTGCTTTGAAGATTTGGCTGGGTTTGAGTAAAAGAGATAAAAGGAATTCGGTAGTTCTAGAATCTAAGTCTGTATGTGACGCAGTGTTTGAAACTCTGAGTGCCAGGAGCGCACCTCTGAGGTCGCCCTGCTCCCCCGGAAAGGACGGGTCCGCTCTCCACGTGTCGGGGGCTTCACGCCGCCAAGTCAGTGCTGGCTGCCGTCACGTGCTTGTCCCCGGACCTAAAGTGTGTACACATCTGTGTCAACCTGAAAATGCTGCCTGAAGCTTTGTAAATACTGATTTTTCTGAGTACCTAAGAGCAGAGTTTCATCGACCAACTACAGGTAGAAGCAGGGACAGCAGGTTGTACCAAAGATGCTTCCTAGCTGGCAGCCACCTCCTTTGTGCCCACCACTGAAATGACCTTTACCTCCTGCAGCGTGGCCTCTGCCCAGCGTCCACTCTGAGGCTGGGCTTTTGTCACTTGCTTCCGTGTCATCTGGGTGGGGGGGCTGAGCGATCCAGTCACCTTCAGCATTTCTAAGTGGACAGCTCTGAAGGCCCGACTAAGCGGATTCCTCTAGCAGTACACAGGCATGAAAAATGCAATCTTCCAGGGGGGCTTGGTTGGTTGATTTGATTTTGAAGAGGAAAAGAAAAATGTCTTATTTATTGGTACCAGGAATCGAACTCACAACTGTGCATTTACAAGGCGGATGCTTATAAATGCTGCTGAGCTAAATCCCCAACCCCCACCAAAAGGTCAAAACAGGCTAGCGGGAGGGTTAGCATAAGTAGCGCTGTGTTGTCATCTTCGGAGTCGGTGCTCAGAGTACAAGCCACGGCCAACACCAGGTCCACAGTCAGCGCGGGGTTTAAATGCGCAGGCCGAAGGTGGCCGGCTGTCGGCGGGCAGCGTGTGCTGCTCCGTGAGGTGAAGTCATCAGGGCTGATGGGGCCCGTGCCACCCCTGAGTGCTGGGTACGCACCCCGAGCCCCGTGCCATGGGTGGGCCGGCGGGTAAGCTCACAGCCATGGGCGTCCTGCAAGCTCATGAAGCCCACCGTGTGCCCAGGGCTGAAATGCGGGACGGCCCCTTTTGAAAAGATGGTCCGAGGACCTCACCTTCGCGTGCTCTGTGGGCTTCACGCTCTCCTCACCCTGCGCCCCACCCTGCTGCCTGCTGGACCCCGGACCCTGACGGCCCACATGGCCCAGGACCTTGCCTCTGCCTGGCACATTCCTCCTCCTCTTCCTGGACATCACCAGGAAAGCCTTTCACGCATTTGTAAAACGTTCGTACAAATCACTGAATACAGAAAAATCCTGCTGCACCGAGCGAGATGTGTGACAGCCTTGGGGTGATCCGTTGTGTCTGACTCTAGGGAATCGTGCAGCTGAGACGCAGCCTAGGTGCCAGCTGGTGGCATCAGGCCGGCCTCCTTTCTCTGGCTGCTTGCCAGCGCCTTTAAAGATAAAAGCCTGCTCGGGCACAGCTCGGGGATAGGTGCTCACCAAGCAAGGCCCTAGGTCAGACCGGCCCTAGCACCCTCAAAAGGTAAACGCTCTGGAGCAGTAAAGTTAGAGATCCCTGAGCTCACCCGGTGCAACTTCCCTGTGTACGGCATGTTACTAAATACGAGGCGAGTGTGTCCCGAGAGCTTGCCAGCACGGTGACACCGGAGCGCAGGTGACGCTGCTGCAGGGAGGGCACGGGGTGACCGGGTGCCGCGCCTTCCCTCCACAATGACACGACACTGACACGGTGCGAACCTTGGCAGGGTCTCCTGAGGGCAGGCGGGCGTGTCCGTGCCTCCGCTCTGCACCTGTTCTGCCGGCTTAATGTCAGGGTGCATCTGAGTGGAGGCCGCTGTGGAGCCCGAGTCCTGGGTCACCGCTAGGGAGGCGTTGCCAGGCCAACTCGAGGCGCGACAATCCCAGACTGGATTCCAGCGGGCCACACACGGAGGGGCTGGCAGCTGGGTAACAGCAGAACCCAGTGTCCGGGCAGATCTCCAAGTCCATGGTTCACCCCAAGGCAGTCCTCAGGCACCCCGGGAAACAGCAGAGGGCGTCCCTCGTGGGAAAGACACATTTTCTATGGTGGCTTTCTCTGTGTCCCCCACCTCCTGCCCACCCCTGCAGGGACACCTTGCAGCCAGCACAAAGGAGAGAACTGTGCGTCCTATGGTTTTGCCCGGACTGCAGAGTTCCACGCTTCCTACTCCAGTGGCCAAGAAAACCTGCCCGAGGCACAGGAGTGGAGCTCAGGACCTCACGCTTGCGGCAGGCACTGTGCCCCTGAGCTATGTGCCCGGCCCAGGAAGAGCTTAATACAGAAGCAAGGGATCTGCGGGAAGGGACAGGGTTAGTCATCTGTAGCTTTCCAAACCTCGTCGCATCGCATCGTGAGGTCACCTCTGTGGGCCTTACGATGCCTTCATTTCTTAGTCTTCCATACAAGGAAAACTGTTTTCTTTGCAAATAAAAAGAAAGCAAGGAATTTATAGAACCCTTTAAAAAAAACAGAAGCAGAGAGCTGTGAGGCCAGCCAGCACCGGAGCTGGGCTACACCGTCTCACACTGGGCATGGCGGGGAGGCCCCCCCTGAGGGCACTCCCACCGAGGAACGTTCCTCCGTGCCAGGCCTGAGTCAGCTCCCCCAGCTCTCCAGTGCCTGGGCTCCGCACAGCGAGATCTGTTTCCGCCCAGCGAGATCTGTTTCCGCCCTCGCTCAAGCCCTTACTTGCCAAGTAGAATGGACACCCTGTCCTGTGCTGCAGGCCAGTGGCAGCAGAGTTACAGACCGCTGGCCAGGCAGTGCCATTCACGGGAAGAGCAGGTGACAGGGAGGGTGCCAAGAGCTTGGGGTGAACCGAAAAGAAGTGAGGCACGGACACGCCCGCCTGCCCTCAGGAGACCCCGAGGTTCGCACCGTGTCAGTGTCGTGTCATTGTGGAGGGAAGGCGCGGCACCCGGTCACCCCGTGCCCTCCCTGCAGCAGCGTCACCTGCGCTCCGGTGTCACCGTGCTGGCAAGCTCTCGAGACACACTCGCCTCGTATTTAGTAACACACTGTGCACAGGGAAGTTGCACCGGGTGAGCTCAGGAATCTCTAACTTTACTGCTCCAGAGCGTTTACCTTTTGGGGGTGCTAGGGCCAGTCTGACCTAGGGCCTTGCTTGGTGAGCATTAAAAAGCAAGGGAGTCTGAAAACCAAATGGAACTTTAAAGAAAATATAAAAACTTGAGAAGCCATGCTGGGTCCGGGAGGAGCACATCAAGAAGCCAGCTCGCCCTTCTGGTGAGCTGAGCAAACCATGCGGGGCCCAGGAGGAGAGAAGCAGCTCACCCTTCCCGTGAGCTGACCTGCGGTGGGCTGAGAATTGAGAAGCCCCCCACCCACCCCCGTAAGCAGCCGGCTGGTTGGGAGGACAGGCTGGGTTGACAGCAGCTGAGGCACAAAACAACTGAATGCTTCTGTTGCTTGGTGGACTTTGCAGGCCTGGCCGGCGGTCTGAGCATCGATCGGGAGGTGACAGTGTGCAACACAGCAGCTGGGGCGGGGTCCTTCTGTGCTGGTTTTGAAATCCAGTGTTGGTCTCACTGTTCTGTTCTGTTCTTCTGATTTATTGTTTTGTATTCGAGCTTGTTTTGCTTGTCTTTATTGTGTTCTGCTTTGTTTGTTTTTACCATGTCCGATGGAATGAACAGCTTTTGTGAAGACAGCCGGAGACCCCGTGGTGGCCCTGGTGGTTCCTGTTATCCCGCTTCAAAGTTCTGTACCAATTTCACTGCTTTGTTTTGATTGGCTTCACCCTGTTTTGTTTTGTTGGGTTTTATTCTCTTTAAAATAAAAATAAACAATAAAAACCCAACAGAAGAGGGGGAAAAAGAGTAAGAAAGGACAGGACAAGGAAGGAGGGGAGGAGACCAAAACAGCCTTGATTTATGCTGAAGGCTGGAAATGAACCCGGGCTTTCTGAGTCACAACAGGGCTCACAGGCCGTTAGCAAGTTAAAAAGACATTTCCTTTGGCTTTCCCTTTAGCTAAGTCTCCTGCAAACTTAAAAATATAATGCAAGGACAGATCTGAGATACCCCAGACAAAGACGACAAAACGCTGTGTGGAAAGAGGCCAAGAGGCGGCTGGGCATCGGTCAGCATCCCGGCTGGTCAGTGGAGTCCAGTCTCCGGGGAGATGGGGATGCAGGGAGCATCGGAGCCAGAGGGAGCAGCAGCGGGAATCCGCGGTGAGAGACCAAGCAGGGCCGAGCCAGCACTGTGTCGCTGTGCTCCCCTGCAGGCCCTGGGGACCTGGTACCCGCGGGGGCCGCGGGAGCTCCTCTCCCACAGGGCACAGCGCTCACGGCACCCAGGGCAGGACGGGAAGTCCGCCAGGACCGTGACACTGTGAGGGCACAATCTAGTGCAGTTTCAGAAGTACAAATTAAAACAGCCTATAAGCCACCCACTTGAAAACTTTACCTCCACAGGAGCGGGTATGGTGGCGCATGCCTGCGACGCCCAGGAGGCTGAGGCAGGAGGATTGCAGGTTTGAGGGCAGTTTAGACAGCTTAGAGATTTGATGAGAGCCTGTCTCAGAAAGTTAATTTAAAAAAGGAAGAAGCAGTGCAGAGGCCCTGGGTTCAATCCCTAGTATCAGAAACAAAGCACAAAATACTAGTGGATTAGATACTTTTTTTAATGTAAAGGCGCAAATAAACTAATGGGGATGACATGGGACTCCAACCGCAGAGGCTGTGCAGACTGAACCTGTTACCAGGGTCAAACGCAGGGCTTCAAAGCAGGGTTTTTTTTTTTTTTTTTTTTTTGTCTTTTTTTAAGGCAGGGTTTCACTATGCAGTTCAGGCTGGCCTTGAACTCACT